TTGTTATGTTGTCTCCTCTGAAAAAGGAACTATACACAAATTAGGTTTTCATTTAATCTGGTGTCTATTTTTTTCTGGGATAGTATCAACACAGTATAGTGTTTTGCCATTCATTATCTTCCTTCATTTAACCACCTGGACATTACTTTGGATAAAGCTATCACTATTAATTTGTTTAATAGCATAATTTCTTTGATTTTCCAGTACGAATTTTCTTAAATGATGCACTTATATTTACTAGCATAATTTCTTAGATCTGCCAACATGTATTTTCTTAATTTATGCCCTTAAGTTTACAAGCATAGTTTCTTCAATTTGCCAGTACAGATAGTCCCCTACTTAAGAACATTCTACTTATGAACATTCCATACATACAAACAATTTTTTTTAAGTACTAAAGTCAAAAAAATTGTTTGAAAGATGCTAGCAAACTTCAAATTTCCCGGGCGCGAATGTAGTTCAAGAGTCTGGTACTGTATAAGGTATGTCATACTTATTGCGATTTATTTACAGGTATTCTTAATGCAAACAAAGATTTAAAACAATGGGAAAAAAGGTAATGGAGACCCAACTTTCGACACACAAACAAATCAACTTACAATCAGCCTCTTGGTCCCCATTATGTTCTTAAGTTGGGGACTTACTGTACATATTTTCTTAAATCATGCACTTAAAGAAGGGCCCCATATTTTAGGGATGGATTTGACTCTTCTCATTGATCATTAAATTCATCCATAACTTGAATGCTATCCAGGTAAATACAGGGTATAAAAAGAAGTTAGAATTTTGAAGTAAGGTTCCTTTTATTGAATTTTACAAGTATACCTTTATTTATATTGGTAACGTCGAAAGTTTTCCTAGACGGAAGTGAACACAATGAATCATGTGGTTCTACAAACTTCAGCACATGTACTCTGAGACTATGGCGACTACAGGAAAATAAAATAAAGGAAAGAGAAAAATGGCAAAATAGAAGAAGAAAAGGGGGAAAAGAAGAAACTTAATTATATCAGAGCTACCAATAATTCTAAAGGAAAGGGGATCCTGCTGAGGGGACTACGGGCTAAAAAATACTTTCCCCTCAACTAAATTATGTTTTTACGGACAATGTTCAAGAAAAACAAATTAGCGAATATTTTCCAATATAATTTTTCATTATATTAAAATAATGATATGGGAGAGAGAGAGAGAGAGAGAGAGAGAGAGAGAGAGAGAGAGAGAGAGAGAGAGAGAGAGAGAGAGAGAGAGAGAGAGAGAGAGAGAGAGAGAGAGAGAGAGAGAGAGAATGATTTTAAATTTTAGTCACTCTAATATCCACAGCATTTTTAAAATGCTTAAAATAGGTTTGATAAAAAACTTACAAACACTTTTATCATGAATTAAAATTGTCACAATAACGATGATGTGTGATCTTACCTAAAGTTAGATCCCTGAGCATCTAATAACAAATCACTAACAAAAGTAATGGGTTCCAATATCATACCTGGCTACAGTATAGTTACAGTATACAGTTACAGCTGGATATTGGTCTCCCCTTCCACTTCCTCTCCTCCCTATCCCTGTTTCTATGACATACTGGAAGCACACACATTTGACAAGAGATGTTGCAAAAACATTGGCTCATACTCATAAACAAAGGCTACTTTTACTCAGATCTTCTATGTTGGTTATACTCATTGTATAACCATGTAGCTCCTTTCAACACAGTCTCTATTATTTTGCATAGGTTTTGATTTCTGTATTTCTCATAAAACCTAATAACATAAAAGGGTCTCATAGCCAAACGATTAGGCAAATATTTCTTACTATTCTTTCTTAATGAACTATCAACTTTATAATTACAGTTTAGATACATAAAAAAACAAATGTAATATAGGAACATGTCTCCAAATGATGAAAACATCTGTAATTTGAAACCTTATAATTTGGCTTTGTTTCTGCTATAGAGAGGTCCATTGCAATTCATATTCTATCAATATTCAACACAAACTACTTGCCTGATTTTAGATGATGAGACCTTTTCAAAACTCCCAAAAACATTATTAAAATCAAAGAATAAGTTTAATGTAAAGAATATTTAACCACAAGGAACTCTGGCTCACCAAAAATATAAAAAACAAACACATCAACATTGGCTAACCAATCCTTCTTACATGCAATAAATGCCACATTCTATTTTAAAGCAAGGATTCAGACAATATAAGTATCAACTTATTCACAAGTAAATGCCAATAATTGAGCTTATGACTACTGACTAAGGTCTTCATCGAAGATAAACATGAAGCAGCATTGATCCTTTAAATCAATGGAATAAATAGTCGAGATGTGATACTTTACTATCACATGTTTACTTGTCAGTAAACAATAACAACAACAAAAAGAAGCAATATGACACACAGGAAGCCAGTGTTGAACAAACTGATTTTGGTCCACATCAATTCTTTTTAACAAACTCTAAAAAATTAGGCAATAAATATTCTGCATAACTTTCATGTCACTCTTAACACAGCTTGGTATATTCACTCTCACTGATCCTATATAAAGACTTGGACTGATCACAGTTGCATATCAGTCTATTCAGATCCAGAGGATGATGGAGAATCATGCGGATGTTGTGGTCGATGTCGCAGGCATGCTCTGACTGAAACAGCTCTTTAAGCCATCTTGCTCTTTTCCAGGTCTTCATTGGCCTCACCAAGACGGTACAGAGTGCCTGCAGGATCAAATTCTCGTCAATGACCCCTATGCCACTTTCGTAAATGGCAATGATGTCCCTCCCAGCCTTGATGGAGGAAATCATCTTGGCCATTGCAAATGTCTGCAGGCTATCCAGCATGTACATTTGTGACAAGAAAACTAGCTCAATATACGTTTTGATGTCACCACTGTCCAGGACCTCACAACGGCACCCATAGAGAAAATGTATGAGAATCTCATATGAGGCTTTGCTTCTATCAGACAGTGTGATGCAAGAGGTGGTCCCCTCAACAAAGGAACCCATGAGCATGTTTCGCAGGACCTCATTCTTCTCTGCCAGAATTTCCCGGCTGGCAGCCACTGTACTGCCATCCTCCAGCTTGAAAGTCACATCCCGGGTGCTCTCTTTTGCCCACTTGCACTTGTCTTGTAGGTCAGTGTGTGATGACTCAATGCCACTGGGGGTCATTCCTCCTGGCTCCTCCTTTTGGGGGGGTTCATGGGGAGTCACAGTGCTCTTCTGCTGCAATTTGAAGTGCTGTGCAACCTCCTCTGCAGTGTGGTTGCCCTTCTTTAAGCACACTAGGCACTTAACAAGGCTCACCTGCTTGTCCAGCTGTTGAAGGCAAAGGAAATGTTAAGAATAAATACTAATGTCACTAATTCTATATATCCTGTATACTAAACCAGATTCACATATTAGTGGATCACAATGACAGTAATGATAGTTTGACTTTCTTAGTGGATCTGTCTCTTGAAAACTGAATGAGTAGATATCAGTCTATTCAGATCCAGAGGATGATGGAGAATCATGCGGATGTTGTGGTCGATGTCGCAGGCATGCTCTGACTGAAACAGCTCTTTAAGCCATCTTGCTCTTTTCCAGGTCTTCATTGGCCTCACCAAGACGGTACAGAGTGCCTGCAGGATCAAATTCTCGTCAATGACCCCTATGCCACTTTCGTAAATGGCAATGATGTCCCTCCCAGCCTTGATGGAGGAAATCATCTTGGCCATTGCAAATGTCTGCAGGCTATCCAGCATGTACATTTGTGACAAGAAAACTAGCTCAATATACGTTTTGATGTCACCACTGTCCAGGACCTCACAACGGCACCCATAGAGAAAATGTATGAGAATCTCATATGAGGCTTTGCTTCTATCAGACAGTGTGATGCAAGAGGTGGTCCCCTCAACAAAGGAACCCATGAGCATGTTTCGCAGGACCTCATTCTTCTCTGCCAGAATTTCCCGGCTGGCAGCCACTGTACTGCCATCCTCCAGCTTGAAAGTCACATCCCGGGTGCTCTCTTTTGCCCACTTGCACTTGTCTTGTAGGTCAGTGTGTGATGACTCAATGCCACTGGGGGTCATTCCTCCTGGCTCCTCCTTTTGGGGGGGTTCATGGGGAGTCACAGTGCTCTTCTGCTGCAATTTGAAGTGCTGTGCAACCTCCTCTGCAGTGTGGTTGCCCTTCTTTAAGCACACTAGGCACTTAACAAGGCTCACCTGCTTGTCCAGCTGTTGAAGGCAAAGGAAATGTTAAGAATAAATACTAATGTCACTAATTCTATATATCCTGTATACTAAACCAGATTCACATATTAGTGGATCACAATGACAGTAATGATAGTTTGACTTTCTTAGTGGATCTGTCTCTTGAAAACTGAATGAGTAGAAACAAAGCTGTTCACAAAAAACTATGATCTGTCCCCCCACCAGAAAAGTTAATCAAGTTTTATTTGATATCCTTGGACAGAATCTGATTCTGATACAAGTTGATATCAGGCCAATTAAAGATACTTTCTAAAACAACATCTTCCAGTTGTACAAAGTTCATATGTTTTAACAACTCTATCTATATGTTTAGATAACACTGTGAGAAATAAAATACAACCCATTTGATTATTCTGGCAAACAAATAAAAAAATCAACCAAGAAATTAAACAAATATTTATTACATTTCAACAAAATGCCCCATGTATGTTATATTTCCTAATACTTATCACATAATAATAGGCACCGCAAAAAAATAAAACTCTGGACCCATTCTTCACCTATCCAAACCTCTCCTCAAAAAACAGATAATCATTGAACCCATCAGCATTTTCATCATTCATCATACTGTTTTATGCACCACTAGAACTACCCCAACCCACAGCAAACATTAGGTGCCTTACATTAGGAGAGATATAGGCTTGGTCATACCAAAGTGCTGTGGAAAACGTGTCACTTTTACAAAATGCTTTAAAATATTACTGACAAAAGCCTCTCTATGCCTGTAAATTCAGTTAGCACAAAAGTGGTTTACATGCAGTGTTGTGATTTGATCATTATTGTTTGCATGTTTGGCCACCACTGCAGTCTTTGAAGAGTTACAACCTCTCAGAAGTATTCTTAACCCACGTAGGGCAAAAACACATGCAATATCCACTGTCATTTCAGAATATTGATTGTTTTTACACAGAAAAGGCTCTACAAGGAACAAATAATTAGTACTACCTATCTCATCCATTTACCTTTTTCCTTGATTTTTGGAAACGTATATTTTTATCATCTTTGTTATTACTAGTTTGATAAAATCATAATAATCATAATGCCACATCATAATAGTATTAACAGTATCAATATTAACTGTATTACAAAACAACATTTTCCCGCAAAGTTAAGGAATGTGGAAATCAGGTGTGGTCACTAAAGCCTACTAAGGAGCCATCTGTGTGCAGTATAAGTCACAAAAAACTGCAATGGCTATTACATAAACCCATGGTCACTGAGATAAAGTCACTTCTAGCCTCATTTCCTGGAAAAATTGTGTAGTAGGAGCTAAATTCTAGAAAGTGGGGATAATATACACTGCCCACTTATAATTTTTCCATCAAGCGACTGACTGTGGCCCAGCACGACACAATGAGTTACTTGCTACATTCTCCTGTCTCCAAGTCAAGAAGATCATGGTCTTTTCCTCATTTGGCATGTATGAATCTGACATTTTAAAGCTTAGGAAGAAAATTCATGAGAAAGAAGGAAAAGGAGAAGGAGAAGGAGGAGGAGGAGGAGGAGGAGGAGGAGGAGGAGGAGGAGGAGGAGGAGGAGGAGGAGGAGGAGGAGGAGGAGGAGGAGGAGGAGGAGGAGAAGAAGAAGAAGAAGAAGAAGAAGAAGAAGAAGAAAGGAGGAGGAGGAGAAGGAGGAGAAGAAGGAGAAGAAGAAGGAGAAGGAGGAGGAGAAGGAGGAGGAGGAGGAGGAGGAGGAGGAGGAGGAGGAGGAGGAGGAGGAGGAGGAGGAGGAGGAGGAGGAGGAGGAGAAGAAAAAAGGCTCAACACATACCTGCAGTGTTCTTGCTAGTCTTGATATGGCTGCTGTCGCATACATGTAATCTGCATCGTTGGGAGGCTTCTCTGAACACAGGACTTCCATGAGCAAGTCCATGGCAGGATAACACACCATGAAATCATGCAGAAGTTTGGGGCATCTGATGATTTTGTAAAAACTTAGTTAGTAACAAGTATTGATCTCCATTGATGTTTTCTCTAAGCTGATATAATTAGGTTGAAAAATCTTCATGTTTCTAACTGATTCTAATGTGGTCAGGCAGCAAGGCATAAAAAGACATGAATAACCTGTTTGGATTCTATAGTGTGATGAAGAAGGAAAAGACATGAAACAAGTCATTAGAGCTAAGCTAAATCTCACATCTCACCTGGTGACATGCGGCAAGGCCATGACACATCCCTCACGAACCCTAATGTCTTTTGCTGGGTGGAGTCTACTGATGGCTTCGCTGTGGCCGTACTTGTGGACGTGATTGAAGAAGTTGACCATCTGGTCTAAGAAAGCTGCTGCCCCTTCTGAGATGATGCGGCACTGCTGGCACCCGCTGGGGGACTCGGGGTCACCTGCCTCCCCCAGCTCGACCCCCACATATGGGATGAAGAGGGTGTCGAGGAGTGGCTGGATGCAGAGGGAATTTCTATACAAGAAGAAAATCACTGTCAGTACAGAGATACTGAATTTATTCTCTAATTACTTGTTTTCCTGTTAAAAAGACAAACTAAATTGTATACTTCAATTAATGAAAATTTATCATTTATTACGATTTCTGGATGAGGATTCATCAATAATTACAGTGTAGGAATATATTTTCAGATATCATACACCATCTGTAAAGACTATTTTCAACAGCAATGAAGACAATGAAATGACAAGACTTCTAACACATAAAGCAGAATAAACAAATGAGCAACACCTACTGACCCACTTAGTGATTGTAACCAATAAGATAATGAATCTAGTATGGCAATAGTAACAAGCATATATCTATCAACTACTTATAAAAATGTATCTTTTAACCTGGTTCTCCTATGCCTTGTAAGCTTGGCCCACACAAACATGTGTAACATCAAGACACCTTGCCTCCCATTTGCAATGTTATTATCTCCTTTTCTGCATTAAAGTGTTTTGCTTCTTTGGCCTTTTCTAAGGTCCATATTTGCCATTTGATATGCTGTATCAACAGGATGAAAGACTGCCTTCCTTGCACAGACTCCATAGCATCACTTTAGGTAGTCTACAACAATGTGCAATAACAAATAACAATCAGTAACATCTTGCTATTTTTGTATTAATGAATAACAATAAGTAACATTTTGTTGTTTTTTTATATTTTTGTATCATTCAATTTTCTGTAACATATCCTGTGCCCCTGGTCATGGCAAGCAAGAATAGGATCCAGAACATGAAAATAGTTCACCCTGTAGATGGCACTCCTCCAGCTATGGCTCATGGCTGGTACATTCCAACTTAATTTTACACTGGAAATAGTGCAAGAGCCCCTTCCTAAATGCCCACTGAGTCTACTCTTCCTCCAAAAGCTTTCTGCTCTCATGACAAGTTCTTCCTGTCACCCCAGCTTTCTGCCAAATTGCATATTTCAGCATATTCCTGTCATCTGCTCTCTGACAATTTTTTTCATGACATGACTGTAACATCAACCAGATCCCATGGGTTAATGACTCACTTGGCAGTACTAAGAAAGCTAAATCATCTCCCTTGGAAATGGTGACCACTGTATATAACATTTTACTTAACAGTAGTAATAACAGACAAGAAAATTAATTACTTTCTCGGCAATAACACAATATTCATTGTCTCATTTTACAATGTTTAAGAACTTCTACCACATCTAATGACTTTCTGGGCAATGGTCACCAGCATAACACACATAACAACTTGCTTTGTAAAACATAAGTAGGCACAAAACCTCTCCCGACTTACTTGGCAATGGTCACCAGCATAACACACAACTTGCTTTGTAAAACAGAAGTAGGCACAAAACACTTCCCAACTTACTTGGCAATAGTAACCAGCATAACACACATAACAACTTGCTTTGTAAAACATAAGTAGACACAAAACCTCTCCCGACTTACTTGGCAATGGTAACCAGCATAACACAAATAACAACTTGCTTTGTAAAACAGAAGTACACACAAAACCTCTCCCGACTTACTTGGCAATGGTAACCAGCATGCGCATAGCTGACTTGTGGACAACCTGCACAGAGGAGAGGTAGGTCATAATTCGAGGCACAAACTCCATGCACACTTTGTGGATGGCTTCCTTCACATGCGCTACCTGAAAGTGACAACAGTGAATGATGAAATAAGTGGGGGAGGAAGGGACATGGGGAGTAAGGGATGGAAAGCAGGATGATGAGGATGATTGAAAGAGAGAATAAGGGAGAAAGAGGAGGATGAAAGAGAGAATGAGGGAGAAAGAGGAGAATGAAAGAGAGAATGAGGGAAAAAGAGGAATGAATGAGAGAAGAGAAGGGGGAGAAAAAGGAGGAGAGGAGACAGAAGGAGAAGGAGAAAAACAGGAGGAAACAAAAAAACAAATCCTAGGCCTGTAGAAAATTGTACCTTATCTTTGGTATATATTTGAGGAGGAGGAGGAAGAAGAAGAAGAAGAAAAAAAAACTTGATAAATCAATTATCTACAGTATGCATTAGAGCAAATAACTGCAAGTTGGTAAAAAGTGGTTGAATCACATCTCCACATATCATAAATAAATGCAGTGCACAGCTATTCACTTTTTCTTTAGCTTGTAATCTATTTCCAATAAAGAATCCTGCATCAGGAAGGCATTTTTGTCATTTATCACCTATTCCCTATTACACTTTCTTATCGCATCAGCACTAGAAGTCCCCCCCTTTCACATTACCTTACAAAAGACTTACCTGGCCAATGATCCTCACTAACAATTCCAACAGCTCCAGCGCACCAGCTTCGTCCTGCGTCAGTTCGGAATAAGCTGAGAAGGAGGAGACGCTGCTCGGCCTTCTTTCCCGAATGGAACTCCGCGGTTCACTGCCTGGTACCTCCTGTGGGGAAATTTGTGCTCAATTGTGAGTTTCGATTTAGTTATTTAGTCATCTGAAGTAAAAGATAAATGAATAGTAACTGAAATATCTGATACCTTATTTGAGGGGGGGGGAAAAAAAAAACATGGTCAAATTTCCTTCAATAAAGGATAGAAATACATGTAAAAGTTTGAGATGGTAAAGTCTTTTGTGAACCATTAAAATATATCAGGGTGCACTAATATTCAAACTATTTAGCTGGCTAGTACTTGGGTGAGTTGTTTAAACTAAACTCAAAATAAACAAGCTAATAGAAGGCTTGGCTATGTGGCCCCACACACAAGTTGGTTAATACCTTTGTATATTTTTAGTTGCCTGATAAACTGATGAACTGAAATGTGTGTACCAACCCTAAAGATGGTTTAATGGTTAAATGATTAAAAAGTAAATATATATGTGCTAGACATCAAAGGTCTTGTAGCACTTTAGGAAGGTATAACAACAAAAAGGTTAAAGAGAGGATGGTTAGTTAATGATAAAATGTGCTACATGTCAAAAGTTATACAGCACTTTAGGATAGCATGGAAATGAAACACTACAGTAAAGCATTGTGGCAAAATGGGTGGAAATGAGTTAATGATCAGGATAAGATGTGTTAGATGTCAAAGGTTGGAGAATGCTGTAGGAAAAAATATTAGTAAAAAGGGCAAAGAGAGGGAGCAAATGGAATACAGTGGGGCTTTGTAAAAGGATATGGTTTAAGGTATAGGGCAATCAGATCAAATGGAGAGTATGTGGCAGGGAGAGTAACACTGTATGGAAAAAGAGCAAAAGAGCTATTATGAAACAAACAAATGGTAATACAGTAAGAAACAACAGTTCTGGAAGTAGGAGCAGAATCCTGAGACTGAAATAAGGGAACAGGGGATGGTGTTGAGGTATCGAGAAGAATGTCAGGAGGGGAGGGATTCACAGAAAGACATGGTTTTGACTTAAGGGAGTCAGGTGAGCATCTAAGTGGGGGTGGTAAGGATAATGGGGAAGGAAGAGGGATTGGTGATGCACATGGAGGAGGAGAGGATGGGGTGTTTTTTGGGTGAGTGGGAGGAAGACTTGAGGAGGAGGATGGATATCAGCAGATACTTTGAATGTAGAGTGAATAAAGGAATTAGAGGGATGAGGGAGTGGATCATTCTCTTGAGTCATGTTTATGAGCTTTTGGATGTGTTCAAGAGTTTCGAGGGTGGGGGGGTGGGGGGTGGGGAGTCTGATAAACAAAAGCTCTCTTATGTGGAGGAGCAGAGGGAGAGGTGGGTGTAGGAGAGGATGTGGTAGGAGAAGATGGAGTGGAACATTTAGGTTGTCTGGTGCGACAGGTAGAGTGAGAAGGAGGGGTAGGTGCTGGGGAAGTGGTAGAGATTGGAGTATCTGGATTTAGACTGGAAAAGGAATTTGACTGGGAGAGAGAGGTAGTACAGATAGGCTGGTTCAGGGTAGAGGGAAGAGATATGGGGGGGAGATGCTAAACCTTTTTAAGAAGATGGGGGAGGGAGCAGAGCGAAGTACAGTTTTCAAATAGATAGAAAGAGAAAAACCTCGTTGGCTTGCTTCTTGTCTGGTCTCACATTGAGTGAGGTTTAATTTGAATCTATGAAATGTTACCATAGATTTGAGCTTGTAGGAAGGGCAGCTCTTACAAAATACATTATGGGAGCCACCACAAGTACCACATGTGTGTGACTGAACAGAATAATTTGAAAAGTCATGACCAGGTTAAGCACATAGAGGGCAGTGAGCTGTGAAGCAACAGTGTTTGGCTGGGTGGTCAAGATGCCAATATTTCTCACAATGATGGAGAAGAGATCAATATGGTCAAACAGGACAGGACACTCCACCAATATAAACTTCATCTTGGGAGAGGTCATGTCTATGGAAGCTAATCTTGGCAATATTGGTGCAAGACTTATGTTGGTCTCTGGGAGGAATAGTGTAGTACTAGAATGCCACTGCATCACAGTAGACAAGGCATGCGAAAGTGAGGTTGGCCAAGAATAGGTTTGCCAATGAGGTCAGTCAGGTTAGATAGTGAATGAGCTTGTGACAGTGAGCTAGATAGTGAATGAACTTGTAGCTGTGACAAGGCGTGAATGATCACAACAACTGCGAAAGGAAACTTTGCCTACTTGTTTATGGAGGCAGTCATTTGGAGCTGTGGTCAAAGGAGAGGCAGGGGTCAGGAAACCAATGAAATCAAATTTACATAGGTTAGTTGATGAAGGGGCAAGCCTTAATGCCCCTAATAAGAGTAAAACCTCTTCATTACTGGCCATGGTGAGCCTGAAAATGGGACAGGAAATAGTTTACCCCTCAGGGTCCCTATGAGGGGTGAGAGATAAACAATTAACCAAGGGAATGCCATGCCCAATCCTCACAGAGGCCTTTCATGACTGACATAAAGCCAGCCTTTTATCCTTTCAGCACAGCTCTCACACCATAGGAAGTGGACAGAAAAAGGGGATGATGAAGAAGAGAAGGAAAGGAAAGAGGGAGAAGAAAAGACCATGCAAAATTAGTTGAGGCGAGGACTGAGGTCTAAGGTAGGGGTGGTCCCCTACATTCGGCCCCAGTCTGTCTCCTAAGCCCTCTTGACAACAATGAGCAAGGGATTAGGGAGGAACCCTAAGGATTTTCAGAAAATTGATATGGATCTACCTACTCCATATTAACCCCTTGCCGACGGGGATGGCATGTACGTACATGCCATGCCCACTGTGAGTCGACTTGTTTGATTGTTTTTACACATAGATGGCTACACTTGTACTAAGTCACCAGTGAGCCAATTACGAGTACTGCCCGTCTCGCCCGTTCACCCTTTTCATCGATTTACGAAAATATTTAACGTTATCCTAATTTGCTGATAAAAATAACACCATCTATATTTATAGTACTAGTAAGAATACGTTTTTTTCCCGGCAATTCAAGGAAAGGTGAAATCAGAACTAGCAGAGCCATCTATGTACAGAGAAATTTCACAAAAATATAAAAAATGAGTACAGCATTTTTTGTAATCTTATAAAACACTTAACCCTTACCTGAAGTGGACTAGAACTTGGTATAACACTGCTTTTTCCTCCACCAATCGCTCCTCCGATGCCTCCCAGGTTAATATGCTGCCTTGCAACACCTTTTTTCCGAACACGAAACTTTATTTGATTCAACTTGACAAATGGGGATTTGGATTCACTGTTCTGCTCTTTTTCTGGCTCAGCTGGTAATACGAAACCATCTTTATTCTCAGCTGCCACTGCTGACTCATCATCTTCACTCACACTTTTGTCAAGATTAGTCTGATATTCGGAATTCTGCGGCAAAATGGTCAACTTTAACTTCTTACAATCAGGAGAGGCTGAATCATTTGGACTAGAAGACTCTCGAAATCTC